AATGCATCTGCTGTATCGTATACAACATTCTCAAACATTTTTGATGGGCAAAATTTATCATTATATTTTTCCTAAAAAAGATCGCCGCGATGTCTGCATTCGATACGAAAGTAAAAACATTGAACAAGATCAATTTGATTTGCATATGACTTTAAAAAGAGAAGCTAGACGAATGAATTAGATGAATTAGACAAAGACACAAAATCCAAACACACAGTGTTTTCTATAGACTTGCAGTCTACATTCATCATCATCGCGTAGCGCTACAACCCTGAGTGAGTCTTGGCTGACTGTACAACTTTTTTTGTTCGTCTTTCATCAACCTAGGGTCAAATGGAATGTTCATTTTCCGTAGATCTGCTTGGATGTTATCTCTCCATCGCATTCTGGGACGTCCGAGTGGTCTTTTGCCTGTGGGAATCTCCTCCCATACCAGTTTTACAAGTCTCTCCGTTATGCAGTCTGTGCACGTGGCCTGCCCATCTTAGTCGCTGTGATTTAATTTCTTGGACAATATTGGCGTCATTGTAGAGTGATTTTAATTCGATATTTGTTCTGATCTTATACTGGTTTGTGGTGGTGTCATGGTGAAGTATTTTTCGTTCAAAACTCTGAGCTTTTCTTCGTTTGCTTTGGTCATGGTCCACGTTTCGCATCCGTATGTTATTACAGGTCTGACGATGTATTTATAGATTTTGATCTTTGAACTTCTGTAAGATTTTTTGATTTTATGAGCTTATCCAGTGCGAATAGACAGTGGTTTGCAGATTTGATTTTGTCTTCTATTTTTTCAGTAACATCGTTGTCAGCTATGATTACAGCCCCTAGATACTTAAAACGTACTCTTTTGAAATTGAAGGTGTTGACTGTCACATTTTGTCCTATTCTGTCTCTTCGAGTCGTTCTATTTATACACATATATTTCGTCTTCTCTTCATTAATCTTCAACCTTACTTACTGTTGCTCCTTCCACCTCGTTGAAGATGTCTTTCGTGGATAGGATGGAGTCTCCAACGAGATCTATGTCATCTGCATATGCGAGTAACAGCCTGGGACCTTGAACCGATAGCAATTCTGTTTTTATTTCTGCCGACCTCATGGCTTTCTCTAATACAAGCTTAAAAAGTAGTGGAGATAACGCATCTCCCTGTTTGAGTCCACGGTTGATTTCAAAGCTGCACATTATATTTACACATACTTTAGATATTCCCACTCTCATCAGACTTGGCCTCGAATGAGTACATTGATAACTCCTCCATGGCATTCCATACTTAGCTTCTTTGTACGCTATCATATGCCTGTCAAAAGTCTATGAAAGGATTGTGTGTGGGTCTGTTTACTACCGATCCCTTTTCTAGATGCATTATTATATTATTTCTATTATGTATTATTGTCACCTAAATCGAATGTTTCGTTCATGTATTTCAAAATGAAATTGGCAATAAATAATTTTACACTTATAATAATAAAGATAACAAAGGGTTTTGCTTTTTGTGGAATGATTGTAAAGGGAACTTGACTGCCAATGAAGTTATTTCATCTCTAACCTATTAAAAACGTCTGCACCATCTAACACCATAATATTGTATAGCGCCGGTTGCAACTACCAAAATAGAAACTGCATTCTGGCAAACAACTTTAAATCTTGCCTGTGAAAAAAATATAGAAATTATTCAGAAATTTCTTTTAAAGGGACATACTCAAATACAATTTGATTCTGTTCATTCAACAATAGAGAAAATTAAAGAAGATGAACTTAATGTACCAGCGATTATATTTCTGTTTGTGAAACTACCTGCAAAGAACCTTATTTCGTGAAATATTTTAACCATACATTTTTTTTAAAATGGACTCAAAATACCACAGTTCAATCAGACCTGGAAAAACAGTTGGTGGCCCCATGTAACGGGCCTGAAACAACTCAAATACACAAGAGATGGAATTTTTTACAAGTTGAGACATTCAGATCAAGAATGGAAAACGTTGGATGTCAAAAGAAATACCAAGTTTGAAGTGATACCATTTGATAATTTACCATCCCTCTACAGCGAAAGAATAAAAATTTCTCTGGAAAAATACAATCATCTTCAAGCTTTAAAAGAAAGTTTGCTGCCTGACTATCACTCATTTTATGATGAGTTACCGCACAAATAAACACTTCGAAATTTTTTTTGTTTATTTTAATTTATAATGTTTATTTTGATCCCTTTTTATTTCTCAAATAAACCTAATTTGTCAGACATTGTTTGCATTTCTTTTCCATATGATGGTGTCAAGTAGAACTACAAAAACCATCTTGTTAGTTTTGAATTTAACATTTACTAATGAAACTATTATTATTATTTACATTTTTTGAATTTTGCAGTAAACTTTCTTATGTTCGGTATGTACTTTTCATTAAATGAAAAATTCGTTACTACGAAAACTGCGTATCCCAAAAAAAAATAAACAAAATATACTATAATTTTGACTAACAGTTATAAAAAAGAAACAATCTAGAACCAGGACAAAAAAAATTGAACGTAAATAACACATTTACGGCGCTGGAGATAGTTTTTTGTGTCTCCTGTAAAATTTTGACAAATATAGTTACGCAGTTTACAGATATTTTCCTTATCATCTGTGGATGTCTGGGAATTTTTTTCTCAATTTGGTTCCACCATTCTGTTAAAGCATAAGTGACTATGGACCAGACTACTGTAGTATAAAGCTAAATATTTATCATGAAGAAGGTATTCCTGGATCTTCTTTAAAACGATTTATAGCTCTATAAAGAATTAAGAAAACTGGAATAATTTGTTTCTACTATTTTTTTGATGAGTTTGATTAACTTGTTTCCTAAGAAAAATTGAGCTTGATAACTAAAATATTATTATTGGAGATAATTTTCTTTTTTAGGAATGCAAAGTGCAAGAGGGTCTGTACTATTGTTTGCAGATGCAGATGGAGCCACCACTTTTGCAGATATAACAAAGGTTGAAGATGGTCTTTTTAGTTTAGTTAATTGTAAGTAAAACATATTGATATGGTCAAAACCTACATAATTTACATTAGTATCATTCTTGCCTTACAACCTAGCCTAGCCTCTTCAAGAATTTCTCTCCATTCATCCCTATCTATCGCCTTCCTCAGCCAAGCATGCATTCCCATATTTCTCATGTCTTCATATATGTTATCATGGTACCCTTGTTCTGGGTCTTCCTCTACTACATAATTTACGCCCAGGCTTAAAATAGCTTTGGTATTTTAAGCATGGCATCTATTGTTGTACATACTTCTGCACTTTAAATAAGCACAGAAAATACATAGCACTTTATAAATAACAAGTTCTTCACAAGTTACATTCCATATATGATCCAAATAGAAATGTTAAAGCTAAGTGTTATACACACACAGGAATGTACTAGAATTACTGAGTAAGGAGGTTATGAAACTATTTTCTTGTGGCATGTTTAGATTAAATATTGTTTTGTATGGGATTAGACCCAGAAGCTCTGGACGTAGATGTGTCCATTCCTAGATTGGCTGGCCAATCCTAGGAAATCGGACTGGTCTAACGTCAATTAATCTATTTCGAGCTGCTGTGAATAAGATGGGCCATCAACATGATAGGTCGGCAACATCACTAGAAGATAGGCACCTTTGAGAAGAAGATGAGATTAAACCACCATTGAATTTAATGAGAATTACATTATAATGTAATCCCATATAAAACAATGTCACTGGATTCTCACCATGTGAAGATAGTGGATACGCAGCTTAAATAGCGATGAGAATAATTAGCGATTGCATCAAGTCTACTCCACTACAATCTCTTTCCATCATCAGCGATATACCTCCGCATGTTCTATGAAGACAAAATGCCTTGATAAAAGAGTATTCGAAAATAGGTAACAACTCAATCCATGAAGACATCCTGAGTTAAGCAGCAAACCCACTTTCTATTTCAATTCTATTTCAATGTTATCTCCAGAATAGCGCACTCTGTGGTTGAAGAAGCTCCACCTGAAGTATCCAACCTTATTGATCCAGTCCAAAGGCCTGATGGCTTTAACCAGCTACGAAACATGGAAGAGCCTAAGCCGCATTAGAAAGGGACATGTAGTATGTGCACACAACCTACATAAATGGGAAAAACGTCCTACCTCCAGCTGCGATTGTGAGACTCTAGAACACACCATCCAACACATAGTGTAGACATGTGAATTGATGGCATACTGAGTGGACCCAAAAGACTTCTTCATAACTACACCTTCAAGCCTTGAATAGATAGCTCAACTTGATCTTTCTCAACCTTTTATTTGTTTATATTACCTTGTATTTATATCTTATGTGTTCTTTTTTATATAAGCTTATTGTTATATTTTAAATTCTGTACTTACGTTTTACAAGTATCGTTGTATTTGTTCCATATATTAAGCCATACACTAAATAAACTGGATTGTTGCCAACATGCTTGATATTTTCATAATTATATAATAGCATATGTTTTAACCTTCTGTTTTTCTTTAAGGCGATTATCAAAAAGACCCTTCAAAAGTAGAAGAAAAACTGGCGATCTCAATGGGTTCCAGAGCTCACCTTGAAGAAGAAGCGGTTGCTTCTAGGAGCTTCTTCAGGACAATCCTGATGCATGGTTTTCACTTTCTTGTGTGGCTGTTTGCTGTGAGGGTTTGAGAGATACTCAATGCGGTTTTAAGTTGCTTACTAGAGAAGCCGCAAGAATTTGTTTTGAAAGTTTACATGTTGAAAGATGGTAAGATATATTTTGCTGTTTTCTTGTTTCCTCTGTAGCTTAGATCTGTAGAAATAATATAATGATAAAAAAGTAGTATTAATAATAAAGTAAAAAGAAATTTTATTGGGAAGAAGTAAAGACCTTGCAAATAATCCTAAGGTGTGAAGATTGAATTAATATTCAAGAGCATTTTAATATCTGGATGCGAAGCATTACAGCTAAAAAATCTCTAGAACCTCGCTTATTATCCGTATAAACTGACTTCTAGCGTCGATTTAAAGGAAATCAAGACTTGAAAAAAAACCACCAAATACGATAAAATATGGAAGTTCTAACATCTATAGTTGAAGAACGCAGACAACTTATTTGGTATGGCCATGTCCAAATAATAAATGATATTCTACTTTCTAAGCAAATAATATATTCACAGGTTCTCTCGCGAGAACGCTGTAACCCTAGAGAGCGCGCCCCAGGTGGCGGATTGTGGAATGCCGAGGACGTGGAGAAAATAAAATGCCTTTCGTGGACCAACAGGTAATTCACCGAATGATTGCAGGTATAAGCAATCCCACACTTGCTGACCAACGGCTTCAGGCGGACGAGTTGGTAGGTGATAGGGCACTCTTTTCTCCTGGAGCTGGGAAACCGGACCAAAAGGCGGAAGAATCAGTGGTTTCGTCAACGGCATAAGAGTATAGAAGGCAACGAGAAACCACTATATTAAAGATCCCTATGGATATCTCTAGTATAATCATAATGACTGTACAAAACAACACAAACACGCTTACTGATCATGGACATCTGAGACCAAGATCCGACAAGAAAGGTGATTCCCATGACCACAGGGCCTCCCGGGTCGGTAATAAGAACCTATAAGAAAAATTCCACACGAATTATCTGAAGAGAGTATCCACTTGGAACGTTATAACTATGGCTCAATCAGGAAAAATCCAATGCGCAATCAAAGAAATGGAAATAGCAATAATGGGCACAAGCGAAATGAGGTGGCCTGACTCAAGATATTAGTGACATAGAGGAATACAGAGTATACTATTCAGGATCAGAAAATGGTAAATATGAAAATGGAGCCGAAGTAAGTGAAAGATTTGAACTACAAGTAAACATATCAAAAATTTATGGTCATCGGCAAAAATAAAATTAGAGACATCAAACTGCTTATCAAGAATACACGAGTGGACCGAGTAAAACAGTTTACCTATCTTGGAACAATAGTAAACGAACAATGTGATCACTCACAAGAAGTAAAATGTAGAATAGAGAAAGCTATGAGTGCATTCAACAACATGGCCAAACTCTTTAAAAGCCACGACCTTAATCTGGAGATAAAAGTAGAGCTTCTACGATATTATATCTTTTCGATATTATACTGGGAGACTGCATTCACTGAAGAGATGGAGAAAAAACTTGAAGCCTTCGAGATGTGGCTAATACAGAAGAATCCTAAAAATATCAAGGACGGACAAGATAACCACCGAGACTGTACTACGAAGAATAGGTAAAGAAAGGGAAGTGATGTATACGATTAAAAGGAGAAAGTCAGAATATCTCGGACACATGAAAACAGTACTAAATACATATTACTGAAAAGTAATCCTTCAAGGCAGAGTATTCGGAAAGCGAGGAATTGGGAGAAGAAGAATATCATGGTTAAAAAACCTAGGAAATGGTTCTCCACACATCTAATCTATTTAAAGCATCAGTTAATAAAATAATATTATAGTCAGAATGATCGCCAATATTCGAACAGAATAGGCACCAAAGGAAGAAGAAGCAAATAATAAAGTGGGTATTGTTTTATTTTGTTGGTGGTGGATATTATAAAAATAACTATTCTGGAGAACTTTATTTTCTTTTTTTTTTAAACATATAACTTACATTACGGGCTCTAACTAGCGGCCATCATTGTTCTCTGTCAGCTGTCAGCTTAAGCTGTCTACACACTAAAGTTCATGATCTTAAGCTGCATACAGACTAACACAAACAGTAATGTCTAAAATACAACTTAGATTCTACTCTAAACATAAAACTTAATTCTTAAATATACAACAGGTATCAATTGAAAGAAGGAAGGGAGGAAGAAAAAATAGACATCATTAAAAGTTGTTCAAAGTGCAATGTCGGAAAGGAATCTTTAGGCGATAGTTTGGAACGATAGGCGAGAGGAAACAGGGAGACGTAAGACGTTATGAAAACCGCATTGAAATAAAAAAAAAGAAAAAGGTATAGATATAATTAATTGAAATAGTATGTTTAATTGTAAGGCTAAATTATGGAAGACCATGCCATATTCGCTTTAATTAGAGGATGCTGTGTCAGGCAAGGAAATAAAAAACACCAGTAGTAGATATTCAGTATCTTCACTGCACGTGCTTTTGTATTTTACGTGGGAACATTTGTTCGTTTGGAAAATTTTCCAGAATTTTAATTTGAGTTCATTGTGGTAGTGTTTATGAATTTTGACGAAGAATATACTGTTTTTCTTTTGTTTACAGTATTATAAAAAATTTTATTTTGTTGCGATAACAGAGAATGTTAGCAAATGAATGTTACAGAACGATTTCGTAAAATATTTCATTTTTAGGGCGTTTGACGTTGAGATGTTGTATATTGCACAAACTTTGAAAATTCCTATTGCCGAAGTGGCTGTGAGATGGACTGAAATCGACGGATCCAAAGTTACCCCGGTATGGAGTTGGATCCAAATGGGAATGGATTTAGGACTGATTTGGTTAAGATACACCATCGGAGCATGGAAGATAAAATCAGAGAAAAGCGATTAAAGATGGTTGAAGTGCATTTAACTAGATGTAATAGCTTTTTATTTAATTTTAGATAATAAATTTATATCTTTATTTTACGCTTTTTATTTGTTTTTGATCTAAAGTTCTACTAAAATATTTTCTTGACACTAGCATTGAATATATTTTGTAGAATCTTTGTTACAAAAATATATTGACTGGTCTATAGAGAAGTATATCGCTCCGTAAAGTAGTGTCGATTTTTTAATTTATTACTATAAAATACCAGTTTCCTTCTCCTTATTTTTATGTATACATGACTGATCCGTTATGTCCGTTTTTCAAATATGCCTGCAGTAAGTTTTCGTTCCATCGTTTTCGTGGTCTTCCCTGTAGCGCACACAGGGGCGGGTTTTGGGTTCACCGTCCCCCCCCCCCCCCAGGAGACATATTATATTTAGGTATAGAAAATACCTAATATCAGACTTAATAGAATAAATGTAAGACAGACTAAAGTCATTATTTGCGGTCTAGATGCTACAGTGAACTGTATCTGTGGCGGCCTTGTGGACTATCACGGGTTGTGTTCCTCTGCATGTGTTAGCAGTAGAAAAGAGACATTTCTATGAGAGAAGAGAGCATTTGACAACAGCTATAAAAAAAAGAAGAAGGGGAAAGATCAATGGAAAGATGGCAAGAAGAGTGGAAGAACAAGGAATATGTACCCAATGGACCAAAAAATTCCGAGCCTAAGACTGGGTAGATTGCCTGTTTTAGGGCGTATCTTCATAGGTTCAGAAAGACAGATACAGATAAATGCCTATACTGCGAATATACCGACATTGTTACTCACACAATGTTGGAGTTTAATAGATGTACAGTGGAGAGAAACATGTATAAAGAAATAGGTGTGAACAATGTGACTGTAAAAGGGATGATCGTGAAGATAACGGGAAGTACGGAGGGATGAAATAGTTTTCACAATTACATCCCAGCAGTCATTAAAAAGAAAGAACAAGAGAAACACCAACCGTGCCAATGACAGAAATAAGATCTAATTACTATTTTAATGGGAATAAGCCGCAATTGAAGGTTAAAATAAGTTTATTGACGTTTGAATTTTTGATCTTTGATCTAGCACTGATAACTTGTTTATACTCCAACAATTAATAGAAAAAAAAAGAAATAGCGGTTGATACCGAAGTACATCTAGCCTATCATCGACCTATGAAAATGCTCGATCAAAGTAACTAAAGGACTAAAACAAGGATGCAGTATGTCACCCTTACTGTTAAGTTTATATATTGAGCAGCCCTCCAAATTTGAAAAACCAGATTGAGTTGCTGAGAAGTATACAGGGATAACACTACTTACCTAAAAATCGGTAATAGACTGTCAGAGCCAATACAAGTAACTAAAGGGCTAAAACAAGGATGCAGTATGTCACCCTTACTCTTAAGTTTATATATTGAGGCAGCCCTCCAAATGCGTCGCCATGTTACCTAATCCATTGGTAACTTTAACATCATAATATTTTATACCATATAATGTAAACTAAATTTAAACAAACCATTTTTAACTGATTTTTACCCACATATTTAGTGGCTCAATACATGTGTACCTAGACACTGATGATGGAATATGGATTCCGAAAACGTTTTGTGATATAGCCCGATTGGGTTTTTAAATTATATACCTTTTATAAACCAATTTTTAATAAAAAAAATTTTAATACTGATACCACGAAACCTTTGTTAACCCAACAGTTTTTAAGGGTTATCATAAAGCTCCGACAAGAAAATCTGGGAGGGCAACAAAAAACTCAAATGAAAGACGATGATAGCTACGGATACATCGGAAAAAAATGGAACTATTTAAGTCTAAAGGAAAAACATAAAAACAGAAACAGTATCTAGGCGCGTATTAGATACTGATGATAAAGTTGAAAATAAGATGAAATTACAAGATTCCAGCGCATTAGAGGATTTTATTGAAGAAAATCACGATACAATTAGTTTCGAAGATCTTGATCGCTGTCCCAATAATGGGAATTATGTGCTTGTTGAATTTAACTCTAAGCAAAAATCATACTATGTCGGCAAAGTTTTGTCTTAAATAAAAGAAAATGATTTTGAAATATCGAAGAAAAAGCGATAAATATGAAAACAGGTTCTTTTTTCCAGTTGTTCCAGAAGTTTCACATATATTAAAAAGACATTAAAATGATTTTGTCGTCCCCTGTAATGCAAGGGTTAACTAAGCGCCAAAGTTCACTTTTAAAATTGGAATTAAACTTTGACATTCTTAACGTAAAATAATGTTAATTGTTGCGTCTCATGTTCTCACAAATACTTTACTTTATCGTGTCCGGACATGTCATTCATAAAATTTCGGCCCAGTATCGGGCTACGTCGGTTCCATCTTTGTTGGCGAGCCACAAATCTTCAAGGGTACATCGATGAGGACAGTTTCTGCATGTAAGAAGATGTTCCATATTCTGTGTTTCTCCACAGTCACAGTTCACATCATCTTGGTCTATTTTTCCCCATTTTGCCATGTTTGATTTTACTGTAGCAACCCCCGTTCTTATCCTATTCAAGGTTTTCCACGTTTTAAAGTCTAGGGTCTGGCCGGTCCATTGAACCTGGGGAAGTGGAAAATACTCAGGCGGTTCATCCTGCACTGTTCCAAGGAAGCTTTTCCTAGATTTTAGTCGCTTTCGTGGTGTTCGAGCTTTGTATAGGGCATGCCGATCGTCCGCGATCTGTTTAATTTTCTCTATGTGTTCTGCAGCGCCTCTGCGTGTTGAGGGTTCTGCAAAACCCGCTGCTCTATATAGATTTGAAAGTGGCGTTGGTTTCATGCACCCCGTTACTATCCTGCATGTCTCATTTAGCGCAGTATCAACTTGTTTGGTGTGGGCAGATCTGCTCCAAACGGGGCACGCATATTCAGCAGTTGAGAAACACAGTGCCTGTGCCGTTGTTCTTAAAACGCCAGGACGTGCGCCCCATTTACTTCCCGTTAGCTTTCTGAGTATGCTGTTCCTAGTTGTTACTTTCCCTCTTGTTTTTATGCAATGTTGTCTGTAGGTGAGGGACCGGTCCAGAGTTACTCCAAGATATATAGGTTGATTTGTGTGTTCTAATGCATTACCATTCCACACAATTTGGAGTTTTCGCTTGGCTTCCTTTGTGCGAAGGTGGAAAAGCGCAGACTTGGGTTTTAGAGGGATTGGGTCTCAGAGAATTCTGCAGGTAGTACGCTGTCATTGTTTTTAAGGCAGTTTCGAGTTTCTCCTCCACTTCTTCAAAACTATTTCCTTGAGCACATATTGCAAGATCGTCAGCATAGAGGAAGTGCTTGGTTTCGGTCGGAGTAGGTTGGTCGTTTGTGTATATATTGAAGAGCATTGGTGCTAAAACACTTCCCTGTGGGAGGCCGTTTTTTTGAACTCTCCACCTACTTACTTTACCCTCCAGCATAACGAAAAAACGTCTATTTTGCAGTAAGGAATATACGACCTTTCCCAGATGGTGGTCATTGAGAGTGTCGTATAATTTACGGAGCAATGTTTTGTGCCTTACTGTGTCATAGGCTGCTGTCAGATCTACAAAAGCAGCCCTGTTATAAGTTTTTCTTCAAAGCCCTCTTCAATGTGTTCTGTTAATGCGAGGACTTGACCGGTGCAAGATTTGCCAGGTCTGAATCCTCCTTGTTGTGGGATGAGGTGCTTGTCGACATTTTTTTCTATTCTGGCGAGTATGAGTCTCTCGTATAGTTTAAAAAAGTGACACAATAGCGAAATAGGTCTGTAGCTACTGGGTCTTCTGGATCCTTTCCTGGTTTTAACAAGCTATTACTTTAGATTTCCTCCATGATTTTGGAATTTTGCAGGTTTTGCAGCACGTGTTATAAAATTGCAAGATCCAGTTTTTTGCTCCTTGGCCTAAATGCTTTATTTGTTCACTGCATATATCATCCACACCTGCAGCTTTCCCGTTTTTAACCTGTTCAGACCGTCGTGGAGTTATTTTAGTGTAAAAGGAGTTCCTAGGTGGTTTGTCTCCGAATCCAATCTTCTCCTAGTGTTTGGGTCCTTATATCGGTTAGTAGTTCTTCCATTCGTAAGGAGTTGAGTAGCGACTTGGTTTGCTGTAACCTTGCAAGGTGGTTTATGTTCTTTTGGATCACCGCTGAGTTTTTTTACAAGGTTCCATGCTATTTTGCTACTATGTGTCATGTCCATTTTTTCCAGGGTCTCAATCCACTTTTCCTGTCTGGCTTGACTTAGCTGTTGGAGTAGTACTGCTCCGCAGTCAACCGTTTCTTGGCTAAAAGGGTCAGTGGAATAGAGGGTTTCGTATGTTCTCATTAGTTCTTTGGACTCGCTGGACATCCCGGGAACATATTGTTGTCTACATCCTCTAGGGATAGTTTTTTCAGACACATTTTTTTGAGTACCTCTACGAATTTTCGTAGTTTTCTTCTACTTTTGGTTCAAGGCGTAGTAGTTCAAATCTAGCATGTCTGCATACTTTTGCCAGTTTTGCCTTTTTGAAGTTAAATCTCCTTCTAATGGAATAGCTTGTGGTCTGAACAATTGGGAAGATATTTATACCAATTGGTCCATGCTGAGCTTTTGGTATGGGGCCATATACTATAGGGGGGAACAGATATTCGGGTTATACCCTCTTTTCCAAACTTTGCTATGAAAAGATGTGGAAGTTTAGGATCATGGATTAATGTGAGCCACTCGTTCAGCCCATGCTTCTACTGCGTCTCCATTTGCATCCGAATCTGCATAGTCCCAAGTAAACTGTGACTGTTAAAGTCTCCCAGTATAAGCTGATTGGCTTGCGAATTGAAAATTAGTTGGGGGTGAAAATATAAAAGGCTGGTTTTGGGGGCTGTATACCGAGGTTATTGTGCATTTTTCCGATCTCATGGTTATTATCTCTATAACCGTGTACATTTGTTGTTTCCACAGATGAGACTATGGTTTGAGTTCTCACAAATACCGCGCCCCTATGCTATTGTGTGGTATCTCCGCAATCAGTTTCATACCAGAGACTTTCGGTCTTGCTGCAGTAGGTCTCTGTGGGTTATATACT